TTCCCCGAGACTTCGAGCTAGGACTTCGCTTCGTCGGAAATCGTCGTTTTATTATGAATACGAGTGACAGCCGTACCGGGCAAAGAAAACGATCCATGTTATCGTTAACATGTTAACTGCTACGCGACAGTCACATTCGTTTCGTCCACCGGACGGAATTTACAAGCTATTTGAAAGCTCAGTGAAAAAGGTTGTTCGTTAAAAATTTTGTTCGTCGATGAACGTCCGTCTTACTTTGATCGTTGTGAAATATTTTTGTACAGACAAGACCACCCACGGCAGTCAACGTGTTAATCGAACTCGCCAAGTTTCGACGATCGAAAATTCTCGCAAAGTGCAAACACGGAGCGTTCGTTCGGCGAATCTCTCCGCCGAATTTTGTTGACGAACTAACGTAACCGAGGAGTCGTTCGTCGATGATCGATTCAAAAGTGCAAATCGGCACAACATCCGTAGGACATTTCGACGGAAGAGAAGGAACAGCAGTTTGAACACTCTGCGTTCGTATCCCACCGACACACCGTCTCCGCAAGTTCGAGTAGCATTTCTAACGATTCAACATTCAAATCTCTTTACCTTGTTCGAGTCGATTTATCTCGTGTATAAGAATGATCTATTCTTAACTACTTTTTAAACGCCGCGTTTGTGCGTTAGGTTTAAGCGTTTAAGTAAAGTCGAAGCAATACTACTGTGTATGCGATAGGTTTCTTACGCCGTGAGGTTTTCAACGACCCGACTTTCTTCTCTCGATCGTTGTCGATCGGATCCGCACGGAGATCGGCAAGTTGTTTCGAACGAAGAGCCAGCCAGGACTCCCGCTCCGACCGCGAGCAGAAGAGGAGAACTCGAAATTCGCGCCGTGATTTGTTTTCCCTCAAAGGTTCGATCGATCGAGCGTCGCGGCGACTTTTAAAATCGTTGGCGCCAAACCAACGCCACCCGATAAATAAACCGATTCGTAGAAGTTTTTTAAATTAGCGGTTTAGAATTTGTCAGCGTATAAACCGATTCGTAGAAGTTTTTTAAATCAGCGGTTTAGAATTTGTCAGCGTAGTTGAAGTAATTGATTTGTATCGATGAATTTTTTATAGAGATTTTTCAGATTAACACTAGAACTACCAGGAAAAGAATCGTCGATGACCGATTAATTCATGACTTTTTGCGAATGCTTCTTAGATTCTGCAGCGACGAGTTTTTAGAAATTTTGAGTGATTCTTTTGTAAAATATATAAATAAAAGTTTGTATTATTTTCAATTTTAAAAAATTATACACACACACACACACACACACACACACACACACACACACACACACACATATATATATATATACACAATAATTATATTTTAAATCTAAGAGATTGTAAAACATTTCCTATTTCATGAAAACTTTAATTTCTTTAATATACAAGTTTTCTATTCGTAGTTCTAATGTTAAAGAAAAGCGGACACGGGCAAGGGGACACGGATATTCTAAAACTCGTGCGATCTTTCGATCCTGATTGAAAAATAAACCTTGTTCTTGTTAGTTCATTATTTACGCAAAAGGATGTCTCGAATCGAAGCGAAGTTTCGAAAACTTTCCATCGATCGGACACGAGCTCGTGAACGAGTCGCGAGGTGCTAACAAAGAGAAAAAGAAAGAAAGTTCAAAGTAAATTTCCGTTCTCTTCGTTGCGGTTCACGCTGTGATCAGTTCCGCGGTATAAATTAAACGTAAACGTGTCGTTGCACGCGATCGTATGATGATCGTACGCGGAAGACGCGTGAGATTCGGAAGATTTCCTTCGAATCGTTCGGCTCTCGTTCGAATGGTAAAAAAAAGAAAAAAGAAAAAATGAACGAGAGTGTGAGAAAGAGAGAGAGAGAGAGTGAGAGAGAAAGAGAGAGCATGCGTGATATCGCGGTCGACCATTGAGAACGATCGCGGGAGATAATTCTAGCTTAACTGTAGCCAATACAACGCACGATACACGATAGAATTTATTTTTTTGGGTCACAGAGTACCGTTCTAGGTGCGTAAGTATTAATATTGAACGTACGTTTGGTACGACAAAAGAGAGAAGAGAGAGAGAGAGAGAGAGAGAGAGAGAGAGAGAGAGGATTCGTTGTCAGTGAGGGGAGCGAACGACAAAAGAGCAGCAAAGCCGGAAGAAGTTGAAGAAACGATCGGTGTCGAGAGAAAGAGAGATGAGAGAATGAAAGAACGTGCTTGAAGAGTGAAGAAAAGAAAAAGAAAAAGAAAAAGTTCGTGTGTCGCGGGGGTGCTCGGTCTGTACGTGTATGCACGTATACGCGTGTATATGTGTTTGTGTGTGCGCTCGCATGTAACAAGTCTAATCACGATTGATCGCGCGACGATCGCGGCTGGGAAGAAGAGGGAACCGAGCGCGTCGTAGATCGGTGCTGGTAACAATTCGATGAAGAGAGAGAGAGAGAGAGAGAGAGAGAGAGAGAGAGAGAAAACGATCTCTTTCATGTCAATTCGAATCAAGGCGAGATATACTACTTTTCTTCGCCCCACGATGCGTCGAACAAAAACGATTTGGCTTCGATCGGCGAATCGACGATTCGCTCTCTGTTCTCGAACGGAACCGTGGACTTTCCACCGGTTCGCCTTCGTTTCGCGCGATTCCTTTAACCTATCGTTAACTAACCTTCAGACATAATATTTCGCGAACCACGATCGAGACCACCTTCTCGAGCGCGCGGCTCTATGGTTCTTTTAAAACTTTGTAGGCCAAGTTTTTAGCAATTTTTAAAGAAAGAAAAACGAGGAAAAAAAAAGCGAAAAATATATATTATGTATATATATATTATGTATATATATGTAAGGGGGAAAAGAGAAGGTATTATCGCGCGGAACTTGAACTCTTGAACCGAGATACCGAGGGACCGCGTGGAACGAGAGGCAATCCTTCCTTTTCTCTTCCGATGATGATACCTACATTGTAACGCCGTCGTTTATTACGATCGTGTCGAAACAGTCGCCGAGAGAGAGAGAGAGAGAGAGAGAGAGAGAGATTAGAGAGGATTTCGGCTGGCTCTCCGTAAGCTTCCTCCGTATTGTTTGGTTCAGAAGGATCGGGACTGTTCGTACCACGTCCGCATCGCGATGTACGGTGTGGTCGCACTCTGCATACTGTGGCATTAGTAAAATTAAGATCACGTTTAGGGAATGAGGACGATACACGCGAGGTCGTGCCACGTGTGGGGGGGGGGGGGGATTTTTGGATCTCTGCCGCGCCTCGTATTCTCGTCGTTCGTTCTTCTCGATCTTTCGCTAGTGAAATTCGTTCGACAGAGTCTCCTGATCCTCGGTTGAAAATTATTTCCATAGCAAAATGGTCGCTATGGCGAAATCTCGCCGTGGTATCGCAAATGGAACTGTTGGCAGTTTTAAATTTCCTTCTCCCCACCCCTGTGACGTGGGCAACGATGATAGCTTAATTTCTCGCCGATGCGAACGAACGGCGGCGATAGGAGTGTGGAGGCTCACTTTGCGCTGATATACGTGTACATGTGTGTAATGTGATCGTTTTTTTTGGGGGGGGGGGGGGGGAGGAGAGAATTTTTGACGACTAGCGCGTAAAACGGGAGAGCTGAGAAAAGTGGAGGAAAAGATTGGAAATGCTGTTCGCGGATAATGGTTTGAGTACGCGAGGCGTTCAACCTCCGGTGACTTGTATGGAGGGACGAGCGACGTCGACGTTCGTTTGAGATAAAAAGGAAGAAGCGAAACGAAAACGAAATAGAAGGAAAAATAAGTTAGGTGAATGGAAGAAGCGTTGTGAGAAGCGACGACGAGAAGGAAAATATGGGAAACACACATACACATACACACGGATAAAGAGAATGAAGAGGAAAAAGAAAAAAAAAAAAAGAAAAAACAAAAAACAAAGTGTAATATTAGTAGGGAACCGTAATTTTTCATGCTCGTTTCTCGATCACACTACTCTAATTACCCAGATGTAATTTGTACTGTGTAACTATTACTATTTTTATGAATTTTTGTACATTTTTCTAATTATTTTGTATGATAATCCTTAGCGGAAAGAGTGGCGAGTCTGGCACCCCAGCGTACCCTAATAGATATTAAAAAGTGTTCAAATACGGCGAGGACAACGAGCCGGGTGTGTGATGAAAAAAAAAAAAAGAAAAAAAGCGAAAAAAAAAAATAAAAAGAAAAAGTGAAAGAAAGAAACGAGAGGGAGAATTCTTTAAATGCGACGCGCGAATACGTCGCGTGATCGTGCGCGCGCGCGCGCGTGTACGCGTGTGTGAGAACGTCTTTCTTCATGGAGTTTGAGCAAGGGTGTCGGAATATAGAAAGGATTTCAAATTCAATTTATATAGGAAACAAGCGAAACCAACAGAGGGATTTAACGCGCGTAGATCGTTTCAAAGGAAAGCCACAGTTATTGAATAGCGTAGTCCACCATTTGTCCGTGTAGTTTATCTGCTCGCCTATCTATCTGTCTGTCTGTCTGCCTGCCGGCCTGCCTGTCTGTCTGTCTATCTGTCTGTTTGCCAATCCTGAGATCAGTCGGATCGGCCAGGTCTTCGATTAATCAGCCGGTCAGCTAGCCAGCCAGTCAGTCAGCCAGTCAATCAGTCAGTCAATCAGTCAGTCAGGTCTGCCTGTCTGTCGTTCTGTCTGTATATCTACACATGTCCGTCTGTCTGTCTGTTGTCTATTTACACCTGTTTCTTCCGTTTTTCTTTTTCTTTTTCTGTTTTTCTTATTTCGACGCACGTTGTACCACGTTGTATTAACGAATACTGAAAGTGAGTATATATATATATATATAACTATAGGTATAAAACAATTTCGCGAAGAGCACATCTATTGGTTATAAATATCGTGATAATGAGTATCCTGTTTTCTTTTTTCTTTTGTGGAATAATGCCAAGGACGAGAGTGCAATTTGCGAGCGTAAACGTATAATTTAAGAAGAAATAGACAAGGGAGAGCAAATAATGGGAGAGAGCGAAAGAACGAGAGAGAGAGAGAGAGAGAGAGAGAAAGAAAGACAGGCAGACGACACTTATGAGAAAATAATGGTGATGAAAATCGAAAGCCTCGCGTATAAACGCGGAAATCGAATGTGTGAACCTCCTTCGTAATTTGACAACGTGTTTGTTATTAATTATAAGAATATCACCTTTTCTTTTTGTCTTAAATTTGAAATGCTATCAAATAGATCAATTCTTTCATGGACTTGCGATCTCATAAATTTTTCAACCTTCCCGATTATCCCATTAACAAAGAATGACATAAGCAGTTAATACATATTAAGTTTATTATTTTAATAATGTTTTTTTTTTTTCTTTAGTTCAATCGAACAAATGATCGTTCTTCCCTCATTTTGGTACAGTTAACCAACTAAAATTATAATAAATAAAAATTCTCGACCGCTTGAGTTTGCATGTAAGAGTCATCCGATAAACGGTGTGAACGCAGTTTAGCATTTGCTAAATGTAAACTTTTATATTCGTCCTTGAAGTATCCATGATACATTAACAAGTAGCTTGTATTAATTTTAGTACAATTCAAAAGTTCGATCCATCGAATCAAGATCCACGACATCGAGATGGATCGATATAGGTGTCGCTAAAAGCGACCTTCTACAGTAAAGTGTCTGTAAACCAAAGAAATAATAATTAAATATCAAATATTTGAAAAAGAGAGAAAGTTGTATTCGAGATGCGTATTACCAGTGTACTTCTCTACAAAGTTCATAATATTCCTTACAGATATCGTGGGTATGTACAAACGATTCCTTCATTCTGATAAAGTTTAGAGGTTATTTTTTAGTTATTCCATCGTCGTGCATATCTTTATTGTGTTGTGATAATTGATGAATAACAAAATACAGAATGTAGTGTTCAGTACAATGTTATTACGGCGAAAGAAATGTCATTTAAAAAAATTAATTTTACTTCTCTAACCTATCGTAGCGTTATGAATTAAGGTTATGTTTGTTATATGAATGTGTCATATCAATAACATTATCAACGATGTGTAAATATGATATTGAATACAGGAAATACGGCATACAAAAAAAGCCAACATTGAGAGATATCAAGCAATTTAAAGAAGATCTGGAAAGGGAGGAAGCCAACATGTTAATCCTAAGGCATCCTTACCTTACAAGCGAACAATCACAGGGTCATATGTGCAAGAATAAGGAAAAAATATACAAAAATCTGCTAAATCAATGGAGAGAAGATGTAAATGCGAAATTTAACAAAAAAATCACTATCATGGATCGATTGAATCATCTTAGAGTAACAGAAAGCTGGGATTAATATTTATTTCCATAAATAATTACAAATGATTACTTTATTAAAAATAAAAGGTCTTATTAAATAAAAACATATAATGTACAATATAAGTGTTATAAAAGCAAAGTGCAATGTTACTTTAAGCTTTCATTTAATTTAAAATTCTACAAAAATAGACTATAGAAGTACAAAAATGCATTATAGAATGTAATATCATTGTGAGTTTCCTTTGCTTCATTTTCATTTTTATATATCTTTGATTCATGGATCTACGACAGACTCGGTTTCAAATCTAATCTGTAAATCTTTCGGTTTGTTTCTTATCCAGTCAAACCGTTGTTTTTCAATCTCCGCTTCTGTCAATATATTTCCTTCCTGAAGGAAATTTGCAAAGTCTGCTGCAATAGGATCTGCTCCAACACTACTTATAGCAATAACTTTACCATCTTTAATGTAGTATGCAAAGAATTCTAAATTTTCCAAGGACCCATAAATTCTTACTTTATCTGGTTTTCCATGTCCTATAAAATTTTCAATAGTTGCAATAATAGCATAACGTTTCACCTCTCTTTTTTCATATACTAGATATAAAAATATAACACACCAACATATCTGTAACTCTTGCCAAATAGTGTTGTCCAGAAAAATGGTACAGCATTCAAGGGAGTAATTTTAGCACATATATTTAATGCTGCTATTTTACCATGGTAATGAGCTAATGGATAATGACCTATTGCAGCTGAGATATCATCAGAACCAAATAACGGTGCATATGCTATATCACCACCTGCATATACGTTTTCCACGTTTGTTTTCAAGTACTGAAATTAAACTAGAGTTAGAATATTCTATCTCCTAAAGTTTATACCTAAATTCATTCATTGCTGAATAATGATTTACCTTATCCACTACAATACTGCCATCTTGTAACATTTCAATAGGACTATCCTTTAACCAATCTGTATATAATTTAGATCCAATCCCAATAATCACTATATCAGCAGGAAGTACTTCACCATTAGTAAGTACAACTGAGCCTACAGCAGACTTTTCATCCTCTTTCGCAACAAACTGTGCGATGTTACGTTCAAATATAAATTTGATGCCTTAAAAAATATTTGGTTATTTTTCGTCCATTTTGATATAATCATCTTGATATTGTACCTTGTTCTTCAAAATGGCGTTTGATTCTATCGCCGATTGCTGTACCAAAAACTGGTTGTAAAGGAACTGTACCCCTCCCTATGATGGTAACAGATGCGCATTTATTTACACAATAAGCAGCAGCTTCCATACCAATAAAGCCTAATCCAAGTACTACAATATGTTTATCTGGTGACAACTTGGAGGATATAGCTTGAGAATCCACATAATTTCTTAATACATGAATGTTAGCTAAACTAGCATTAGGTATATCGGGCTCTCTGGCCATACTTCCAGTACAAATAAATAAATAATTATACGTTAATTTTTCATGGTTACTCAATTGAACAACATTGTCGCTTGTACTTAATCCTGCAATGAATTTGTTGTGAAACTTGATTGAATTTCACACAAAGGAAAAGTAATTTGTATTAATTTTACCTGTTGCCTCTACACCCCGTTTAATTTCAATCTTGTGATTTTTATAAAATGAAAGTGGCCTCAAAACTATCTTTTCAATGCTTAGATCTAATGTTTTGGATACTTTCACTCTATCGTATGGTACTGTGTTTTCCTTACAAACCATAATAATATTTCCTGTGAAACCTTCTTGTCGTAAACTTTCTGCACAAACTGCAGCTGCTGGCCCACCTCCAACTATTACAACAGTAGTTTGGTTACTAGGGTCTTGTTCACACATTTGTTTGGTCCTTTTATTAAACTCTAAATCTTTACGCTTTCCTTTCACACGTACAAGGCCACTACTATCCACATTTACCTGTTGATTTAAGATTTAAATTTTATTCCATGAAAATGAAGAACAGACACACTTGCCAAGTTAAATTACCTGGAAACAGGGTAAGGAGTCCAATCCTGGGTAATCTTCTATATCCCCTGTTTTGATGTTAAAACATGCACCATGCCATGGGCATCTCACTCTTCCATCTCCCAGTGCTCCTGTATGAAGCAATGCTCCATAATGCGTACACTTTGTACCAATAGCATGTAACTCTCCTTTCTGTTTGATCAACAAAACTTTTGCTCCAGTTTCTCCAAGTGGCAAAAGTTTCATTTCATTTTCTTTGATATCCGTTTCTTTGCACACCACATCTTCAATGTAGTCATACTTTTCTGGTTTACCTGAGTAGATGTGAATTATTCCAGTTAAAAATTCAATTACATTAATCATTCATTATGCGGAATTAATTTATCTCTTTCTTTTTTTAATTTGGTTAACTCGCGCTAAATGTCAATACAAATAAATCAAATTCGTTAGAATGTTCATTAGATTCATTGGCGTGCAAATGGCAAGCCCTTAACTCACAACTGCAACAACATTTCGCTTTATTATACGACCGCCTAATCTCTTCAACATCTTTGTTACACTCACTGCAAGTGTGAATCTTCCTGTCTTGCAATTCTGACATCTTCCTCCTATTTATTTTCAGACAAGTGTGAAATACCGAATCGAACGATAATTTCATACATCGCTTCGCGACGCAAAAGCGCATATTGCCGAAGCGTTCTACTGTCGCCGCAGTTGTCCGTCAATGTTACTTAACGTTTACATTCATTACATGAATCGCAAATTTAAGTCTACAAAGAATAGTAGTGAAACTATTAATAGTTATTATTTCGTGCATGCACGCACGTAAATGCATTGCGATTTATTGCACGTACATTCTAACACAGGTGTGCAATCTGCATTTGCGACAAATTATCGTGACTAATTTTTTAAATATAATATACAGGGAGCTACATCTATTGACAAAGACTGGCAATAATCTAGAATGGAACGCAATCTATATATGTCATCTGATACGTAATCGCTTATCGAACGTAAAAACCCATCCGTTAGTTAAGTTCATTATACATAAGCGAAAGATCGATATTTTGACAATGATTATATATATATTCAATTAAATTATTTATGTGTGCATATACATAAATTATAATTTTAGAATTTCATATATAATTTTTTCAAATTGAATATAGATGACAAAGAACAAAAAGAAAAGTTGCTTATTACAGAAATTTTCCTCGTTGCTATAAGGAAAGGAAGGTTCCATTTCTTGGCATGCATCGAATGTACAGAAACATCAATATTTCTCGGATATATTATTGAATAACCTGATGTAATACAACTTAAGAAAAAGAAAATATAATTCGCACCTGTCTTCTCCGATTTATCCGGCGCATTGTTGGAACTCCTTGGAAGCAATCCTTTGCAATTAATTCCACCCATTTGTGCGTTTCAATCAATGCCACTCGTGAACGGTTCCAGCTGCGTTATCGTGATATCTGTAAATTATCTGACTATTTGGATTTCTACAATTACCTATACTTACGCCACTAAAAATTGTTTCAACCATGACGATTGACCTTGCGTTACTAAAAGTGTTTTAGATAAACTTTCACTTATTCGTGGAACAATGAATCAGAACTTATCGAGGCACGAAATTGGTTCAAAACCTCTTAGAAATTGCGATACATTATAAAAGACCAGAGGATCGTTTGTAACGTGATTAAATGTATAAAAAACATTTCAGATAAAACGTTAGAACATTTTTTTTAAATTACAAATGTAAAAGATAGTTTTATCGTTCAAAATATAAACGTTTTATTGTTAATACGATACGATAGTTTTTATTTACTTAATGTCAGTTTTCGATGTTCTGCGATAGATTTGAATTTTACAATTTGCAATCTGTCAGTTTCGAGATAAAAGCAAGAACGTACTGTCATTTTAACTTTGCTCAATGCACTATGACCGGCGGCAACTTGTTGCAATGATTCAGAGAACATTCATTCTCGCTTTTAAAGGAAAGTCGAAATCGATTTTTGTATAGGACGTTGCGCATATACGCATATTTCACGGACAAATAATATTCTATAGATTAGGGACGTTGAGAAGAAACGATGCCAGTTTATCCTTGGGAACAACAGCGCTCCCTTGAAACTTATTGCCAAAAATTCGCAAGTTTACAGTTCTAAATTACTGTTCAAAAACAATAATTCAGATATTGAATGTACTTTGTGTGGAATTGAAAACTATTCGAGCAAGGGCTTTGATCTATTGAATAGACTTCGTAAATATCGTACTCTAAATTCAGAAATGAAACATAAGGTAGAACCTGAGGAACTAATTCGAAAAATGAAAATGTAAAATTCATAACAATCAAATGTGAACACTGAAATAGTAGCGGCAAAATATGTGTTGCATTATATAGTTCTCTAATTCACCGCTGTTTCAGCGTAGAGTGCGCCACAGACGAGATCTAGTCATTGACTATGTAATTAGCATAGACTGGACATCCAATTTTTCGTGTCCATGGTATAGTGCGCCAAAAAACCAAGGTCTGGTCGATATTCCAGACCCTGAGATACGAAGTTCCATTTAATGTCCAGTCTATCCTATTTCTAATCAATGGTATTGTATATCAGGTCTATTTTACGTATAGTCAATGATTAAAATTAATACTCTTATTTATACGACGTTAAGTCCTGTTAATTTTATATTAATCATATAAAAAAAGGACGATGAAGTTTATTATTATGATTCATTTATAGCTATTAAATGTTTCATGTTTTTCATGTTACGACTGTCTTTTATTTTTGTGACTAAGAATAAGACATAAAAACATTTTATGCAGTATACATGTTTCAAATATGTAAGCAAAGAAAAAAAAAAATATATATATATATATAAATTGAAGAAATAAAGTTCGAATTTAATAAAATGTAAGAATTAAACGGAGTTGTTGCATTCTATCTGTGGTCACTGAGTTCATTCATGTATTTATTCTATTTATTAGGGTATAGAATTTATTCTATTTATTAAGGTATAGAATTGTGAGGTAATTTACAGAGAAATATTTTTAAAAATTATGCAAATTTATGCACATTTATTTATATATATGATATATTTTAGTTGCTAGACTGGAAATATATTTTTAAAAGAATTTCGACATGATTTCCAAAACTGTATGCATCACTCAAGAGGGTCCAGCAAATGCATTGGCACTTAGTAAAGACAATAGTCAAGTTGTTATAGCAGGACGTAATGGTGAGTTATTTGACAATAAAAAATTAATATTCTGAAGAAGTAATATTACTATTTTATATTGCAGTTTTCAAAATATTTACTTTATTAGAAGATAGATTTGAGGAAGCTTGTAATTTACGTGTGGGAAAAAATTTAAATTTAAATTTTTCTTGTAATGATGTTGCTTGGAATCTTATTGATGGTAAGTGGAATTAATGCTTTGTTATTGAATTAATTTTTTCCATTTTTTTTTTGACTAACAAACCAAAAGGATTATGAATAATTTCTTTCTTCAGATCATATATTAGCCACTGCAGCTACAAACGGTGCAGTAGTAGTATGGAACTTAAATAAATCATCCAGATCCAAGCAAGAACATGTTTTTATCGATCATAAAAGGACTGTAAATAAAGTAAGTTTCCATATGACAGAACCTATGTGGTTAATATCAGGTTCTCAAGATGGCACTATGAAATGCTTTGATTTGAGAATAAAAGAAGCTACTAAAACCTTTTATAGGTAAATACATAATTAGCATGCATTTCGATATATACTGAAATGTATTAGATAATATTGTTGATCTCAGTAATACAGAATCGGTGAGAGATGTACAATTTTGTCCCCATTCACCTCATACTTTTGCTGCTGTTTCTGAAAATGGACATGTGCAACAATGGGACCTACGTAAACCAGACCGTTACTTTCAACATTTTACTGCTCATAGTGGTCCCATATTTGCTTGTGATTGGCATCCAGAAGCTGTTTGGCTCGCAACTGCCTCTAGAGATAAAACTATTAAGGTAGCTGACAATTATCTACTTTGTTTCTCATTTGAATCAAAATTAATGTATGCGAAATGTTATTTATAGGTTTGGGACTTATCAGGCAAACCAAGTTGTGATTACGTTATACATACAATAGCATCAGTAGGTCGTATAAAATGGAGACCTCAAAGGAAACATCATATATCCAGTTGTGCCCTTGTAGTAGACTGTAGTATAAATGTATGGGATATTCGTAGGCCTTATATACCTTTTGCAAGTTTTAATGAACATAAAGACGTCCCGACCGGTGTTGCATGGAGAGGCAATCCACAGTCTTTTTTGTCAACTAGTAGGGTAATAAAAGCATTAGAATATTTACAGTGAAATATTAAATTATTGAAAGATATTCAGTAGAATATTTTTGATGTAGGACTGTACATTGTATCATCATGTGTTCAAAGATGCAACTAGACCTGCGAGTAAAGCAAATCCGCAAGGTATCGCGTTGAATTCCAAAGGAGATATTGCATATGCTTGTAAAGTGAACGTTCATGTTACAACTACAATGAAGCAATTAACCAATATCATGAGGTTAGTAAAATTGCTATTTAAACAAACACGATCCTGGAAAAATCTATGAAAATGAATCGGTAAATATAATTCAATAATTATTTATAGGAAGACGCCAGCAATGAATGATACGTTTTACATGGCATCTAGCGTCATGCATAGATTTGCTATAAATATGCCACGGGAACCGAAGTGGTTTAAAGCCTGTGCAGAAGGTTATTTGCTTTCTGGAAGATTAAATGACATTTGTGATCATAATGCCATTGTTGCCAGAAATGCCGGTCGAAATGATGTATGCAGTCGTTTAACTTAACGTCATTCTTTCTCACTTTCATATTATTAATATAAAAAAATCAACTTTGATTAGATCAGTACGGTGTGGAATATTATAAAAACCCTATATACGAATCCTCTGGGAGCTATTTTAAAAACACCTCCGACCGCTTCCAAAGAGGATATAGTGAATACACTAAATTTAGCACAGATTACAATGGGACCTAGTATAGATCAATCGAGTGCAGGTAAAAATATCAATATAATTAAGTAACAAACGGTCTTATCTAAAAGTTTCACGAGTAATTAAAGTTCTACAAACTTTCAATGACGTTTGTAATATCGTTTTCAAGTACATGAAAATGATGTAAAGTCACTGCAAGGAGAAGTGACAGGAGCAACCAGCGGAGGTGATGATGAGACAGAGACAGACGAAACACCGGAAAATCAACATTCCATAGGATCTATGTTACCTAGGTAAAATTAATTACATTCATGGAAAATATTGCGCATGATGTCTATATTTAATACATTGATATTGCCTTATGTGAAAATATCTAGCTACAGACGAGCGTTTATTGATCATAAAGAGACATCGAAAGGAGATTTTTTATTCGGTGAGAGTGACTTTGAACCAATGATTATGGAGTATACTTCCAGTTATATACATAATATGATAAATAATGACAATGACTGGACATTGTCCAAAGAAGCATTTCCTTTGCGGCATGAAATAAAAGACAGATCTCCACCACCGGAACAGTTTCCAAATCATCCGCCGGATATTAACGAAGACTGTGCTTCGTTGATGATCGAAGATCAACCGAGTCAATTGATAGTCTCAAATATACCTAAACCGCAATTTTGGGATCCTACGAATTTGATCGAAGAAGCTTTAAAGCATCATGCTGCGCTTAGGGATATACAAACTTCCGCATCGATTCTTATCGCGTTAGGAGAGAAACGAAAAAACTTGAACATCGAAACTGCTGTTCAAGAACATTGGATATTAGAATACTTGGATATGCTTGCAAGATTTAAACTTTGGAACGTGGCTACACAGGTTAGTGACAAATTATTATTAAAATATCTTAATGACACTCAAATGGAAAACAGACACAGTAAGATAGGTTCATGTATATCGACAGATTATTCAATCGGTCTGGATTCCATCTGTGTCACAATTAAATCAACAGTCAACTGTAATACACGCGTGCTGTTCAACTTGTTCAAAACCGTTGCAACGTGCAGCGTGGTTTTGCGATCGATGTCACACATCTCACCACGCGCTCTGCTCAGTTTGTCACCAGGTGAGCTATCGAATTATGATCGCTTCTTGCATTGTTCTCACGCGTTTTATATTCATCTGTATAGGTTGTTCGGGGAATTTACGCGTGGTGCCAGGGTTGTACACACGGTGGTCACGTTGTTCACATGAACGAATGGTTCAGTTGTAATCGACAATGTCCTACAGGATGCGGTCATATATGCGAATACACTTAAAGATATTGCGGTGTGATAACGATCACAGTGTTCCATAGATTTCGTAAGTGTTAAAAATATAGAAAACGTTATGAAATATCAAATGTATATAAAAAGATTAAATTATTTATTGATTATATTTTTCTAAGTTGTATAATAGGGATTAAAACGCGCGTGTGAGTATATTGTGTATATTGTATCTTCAGTTCTGAAATAATATCACATTTTTTTTCGCTGAGATAAATTGTACAAAAATAGATTTACATTTAAAATATTTAGTTGCTTTCAGCAGCTCTATCCTTAAATGTCTCTATTTTGTTATTGTTTTGTATTTCAACTATTAAATAACGAGCGATAAAAAATGTTACAAAATCTTGTAAGTTTTTACAAAAAACAAAAACAAGTAAACAAATTTAATATGGAATATTCTAACTATTCTTTTCATTGACTTTCATTATAACGCTCTTTACTTCGGTATACGCTTCAAGACCGTATTGTCCGAGTTCTCTTCCGTGTCCAGACATTTTGAAACCGCCAAATGGCGTTTGAGGTGTCAGGACGTTGTATGTGTTAACCCTATAAACATGTATCAAGTAATATAAAGAACAAGAAATAGAAGAAAAGAACTATTGTACACATTTCCCAACGTACCATACGGTGCCAGCACGGAGCCTTTGTATAACGTAGTTTGCCTTATCGATATCTTTTGTAAACACCGCTGCTGCCAATCCATAATCAGTAGCATTAGCACGTCCAATAACTTCGTTTAAGCTACTAAATTTCAGGATTTGTTGAACTGGTCCGAAGATCTGCAACAAATATCAGTATGTGATAATGCAAATACTTTGCCTTCTGCGATTTATAAAAATCTGCTATATTAATTTGTATTTACCTCCTCCCTAGCAATAGTCATATGATCCTCAACATTGGCAAATACTGTGGGCGCAACAAAGTAACCTTTATCACCAACCTTCGTACCACCGGCAAGCAATTTCGCCCCTTGATTTTTGCCCGTTTCAATCATGGATATGATCTTGTTTGTTTGTTCCGCGTCGATCTGTTTATGCAAAAGCATTATAAAATTTAATATATGTACACGCTGATCTGGTTTTATATAGAGTAATTTATATACCTGTGGGCCTTGTTCTACATTTTCATCAAACGGATCGCCAACAACTCTGGTTTTAGCGCGTGCCGCACTTCGCTGCACAAACTCGTCATAAATGCTGTCGGCAACGAAAGTTCTCGAGCCGGCGCAGCAACACTGACCCTAATGAAAGCATACAACAATCGGTACAACGCATCTGCAGAGATTTCGTTTCGGAATTTAAAAGCTATGACGTTACCATGTTGTAAAACAGTGCGAAGTGAGCTGTTTCCACAGCATGATCAAGATCTGCGTCACTCAAGATTATATTTGGAGATTTTCCGCCAAGTTCCAACGTGGTCCTCTTCAAATTGCTCATCGCGGCGCCTTGTTTTATCAGCTTTCCAACCTCGGTGGAACCGGTAAACGCTATTTTATCGACTAAATTATGAGCGACCAGTGCAGCACCCGTTTTACCATTACCGGGGACGACATTGATCACTCCTTCAGGAAATCCAGCATCTTTGGACAATTGAGCTACATACAAAGCTGTTAAGGCTGTTTGCTCGGCCGGTTTCAATACGATAACATTTCCTACAAATCATCAGTTGTTATGTAATAAATATGTTAGGCAATAGTTACTGGCAATAGACTGCGATACACATGTTAAACGTATTGAATAACATTAGTATAACATTATGTGTGAATGAAACTTAAACATTTTTGACCAGTCAATTCATATCCATTACGGCTATTATTGAACAATTAGATATTCACATTGACGCAATGTTATTCAATTATATATACCGGTCGCCAGAGCAGGTCCCAACTTCCAAGCCATCATAAGAAGGGGGAAATTCCATGGAATAATCTGACCGCAAACGCCAACTGGCTCGTGGCGGGTGTATGCCAGATATTTTCCATCGATGGGAATAACTTGGCCATGATTCTTATCGGCCCATCCCGCGTAGTATCGCAGTGTCGCTATACTTTGAGGTACGTCGAACTCATAAGCCGACGAATAAGGCTTCCCATTGTCTAGCGTTTCTAAAGACTGAGGCATACGGAGCTCTTCAGTTTTATCACTGTTTATCGGTATTTGGTTCACGATTTGGAATATTTCTTACCGCGAGATAAGTGCGATTCTCTTCTATTAAATCGGCCAATTTGTTCAATAATACACCACGTTGCGAAGCGTCCATGGTTCTCCATGGCGAGCCAAATTTAAAGGCTTTGTTGGCTGCTTGGACGGCCGCATCGATGTCCGCGGCGTCACCTTCCTGCACCTCCGCGATCGTTTCGCCAGTTGCAGGGTTTATCGTAGGGAACGTTTTTCCAGATTTCGATCGGTGCCATTCGTTATCGATAAAAATCTGCAATTTCATCGTCGCACGAATAAATTCCAATAAAATAATACGTCACAGAAATATAAATAACGTTATTTGGAAAATATGCATGATTCAGCAGTGTAAATTAAAATGAAAAATGAAATTACGTTTCAAGGATTTTACGTATAAAGAATGAGGCTTCATCTAGTGGCTTGAAATCATGCTGCAACTTCCGAAATATACGTACACATTGAAAATACAGTGGATTTTTATGATTTTTTTGCGAAATAAGAGGATTGTATTGTACAAGGCAAATATAAATAAATTAGTAAATATATTTATACGTCGAGAAAAATTGGTGCTGCAGTAATGCCCCCACTCTCGTACATAGAAATCCATAAGTTATTTAGCATTTTCTAATTTTATATTAAATATAATATTTATTAAGATAAATAAATTTGATCCAATTTTATTAATAATATTAATATTTTATATAATATTTATCAAGATAGGGCTATAATGTATTCATTATACGTCCAAAATATATTAGTTTTTCTTACAACAGGTACGCAATGATGAATTAATTATGAGTATGTCGATATGGTGAACGACCAAGACAAATGTAAATGTCCGGAGACAAATCAGTGTTGAGTGTAAAAACATATATAAAAAAAACATCGTATTGATACGCATTTGCAAAAAATGCAATGTATTATACAGAACGTGACACAGATAAGTAATCAAAGTTAAACGTAAAATTACAAATGTTATAGCGAATGTGATGATATTATCAATTATCAATTCTCGTAATGAATTGCACGATGTTTTTCTATTTGCTTGAATTGCACGCAACAATATTTAACAAATATTTGATTTTAGACTCGAATAAAGAGATATCTTCATTTGATCCTAGAATTAAATAAAAAGATATCTTCGTTTAACGAAAAATGTGTATCGTGTGCTTCAAAATCTATCTATCTTCGTTCAATTTTAAAACTAATTCCAAAACAAATCTTTCGTCTTTGACTTTCGTAACAATGAACAACAATAAACCTCGGGACATTTGAATAAACGCGTTGTGACCGTTTGTGACCTGAACATTCGTTTCGTCAAATCATTGGCTGTTAAATGTAAAACTACATAAGAGTTTTCATTTTAGGAAAAATCCGTGAATCTAAGGAAGATCCACAGAAGAAAGGAGACTCCTCTGGAAATTGAATGATACGTGTTACATACGTACTTACATATATCTCTCGAGATGTAAATAAGGGATTCAATAAGAAACAATACTTACTCCTGTATAAAGAATTGCAGGATTTCTCTCTGGTTGTACTTTAGCAGCAGTTGATAAGTACCGTGATAATTGAACGTTTTTCAACAATCGCAGCATCGTTAGTTTTTTGTCTTCTTTTCAGTAAGCAGTATAACCACATCCGACACATACACTAGTAGAGAGGCTACTGCTTCCTGTCGGCATTGGTACAGTGCCCGAGTTCGAGGTTAGTTGCGTAGTTGCGCGCGTGTGTTGCGTGAAGCAAATTTGCACATGCGCATTAGTCTTTTTCTTTAATCTTGAGGCATCATATATATTTAATTGGGAGATAAGTTTGTTTTCAAAATGGTATCGTATCACAGGAATTATAAACAAACATTTTCGATAAGTATGCATACAATGACTCAATAACTTAACATGTGTAAAAAGAGTATGTATGTACATATACGCTATTATCTTGATGATACTAGACACCTACATGCATGAAGTTTTATCTTCTAATCTGATTTAAGTTTCATTAGAAAACAATTGGCTCTGTTTAATCATATTGCAATATACCGTATCCAGAATTCAAAATTTTATACATGCAGATTTATACTGTGTGAAATGTTGCTAAATATTATTCACGATCTGTAACGTGAATAATCGAAAAAAATTTATTGTTCGATATTATGCTTGGCCATCAGACAGTCTTAATATAATCTATCTTTTGTAGTTTTTCGATTTTTATTATATTCTCATTAAACATAAAAAAAAAGAAATTAATAATGTTGTAAACCGTTAGGTGATATAGCCATATACTTGTCAGGCAATAAGTGGAAATCTTTATTGGTACACCAAATCTTGTGAAGAAATCCTGAAAAATTATAATCACTGTGATTTGTCAAAGCGTAATTGTAAAAGGAAAAATTACAAAAAAATGGACATTCCTCGTGACTTTCCTCCTTACACTTCAATTCAGTCTGATCTTTCAACAGTTTGAAAAATATGAAGCGGGTGTAATTCATGTTACGTAACAAATGCCTATATTTTACCTGTAAACATGACATTTATTTCGATAGTTATATACAAGACTCGCGTAACCACACAATGAAAGTCCTGTGACGAGCATTAGGCTCTCGGAGAATACGCTTTTTCCAAGTGTCCGGACGCTTTTTCGACTTTTCGTTTATCGTAGGCTGTTCGAGACTTTAGTCGAAACGAAATATGCAAGTCTGCAGAAAAGAGAAGAGAAACAAAATGAAATAAAATGAAACGAGGAAAGGCGAGAAACAGAGAAAAAAGCAGAGAGAGAGAGAGAGAGAGAGAGAGAGAGAAGATTGAAGAAACAAAGCGGTGGGGAAAAATACGAAACGAAAAGACAATATATATACAGTGTTTCATCGATTCTCTTTACTAGGCATGTAGATCACATTTAGAACTCGCCCGTTAAACGTTCGCATCGTGATATTATTATTATGTATTTCGTCAACAAAAAGACGCCGGCCGTTCATCGTGAAAAAGCGAATACAGTTTCTTTTCTTTAGACAGTAAGAAGGGAATTATTTTTAAAAGCCGCTTATTGTGAACGCTTACCGTATGCTTCATCTTATTTAATCGTTTGCCTTTTTCTTTTCATTTCCTCGTTTAACGTGTGTGTTTTGAGCTCCCTCGGAAATCGATAACAATCAAGTTTAGAATTAATGTAGTCTGCGTCAGTATAGTAGTTTAGTAAGAAGTTTGTTAAATACGACGTAATATGACGCGAACGCGTATATCTTGCGACAGAAATCAATGTACGTGACACGTCTCTCTCTTTTTTTTTGTTCTTTTATTCCTTTTCCTTTTTTTTTTTTGTTACTTTTTCAATTTTTTTTTTAATTATTCTGTTTCTTTTTTTTTTTTTAAGAAGAGACTCTCCTGGTGTAACGTAAAAAAAAGGTTGCCTCCCTCGAAACGCGAGAGAAAAATCCCTATAAAACGGCTTCGAACTTGGGTTTCCATTTTCGACTTCGCACGTCTACATCCCTCGAATCTGCTAAACAGCGAATCTGTACGAATCTCGTACGCTATAAAATTATTTAAAACGATTACGCACGCTTACAACGACAGAGTTAGATTAGACGCATACGCTAACATTCTTCATTTTCTACAGTTCATCTCGATACTGGCTATGGTTCTTTTTTTTTTTTCTTTTTGTTTCTTTTTTGTTTTCCCCCTCGATCGGGTCGATGCAACGTTGTTTCTTCCTTTTCCTTTTTCTCTTTTTTTTCTTTTTGTTTCTTATTTTCGTATGACAAACTGTTTTCATTGTAATTCGTTAATATAAAAAACAGGACTCCGCGTTTCGGAACGATAGGTCGCTGCGATGCATTTACATCCTTCGAGTTTCATCTAGCGAACGCGATGGCGCGTCGGTGTGCTTGTATTGTTTTTTTTCTTCTTTTTTTTTTTCGTACGACTTTTCGTCGTCAAGACGAGAATCGAGACGGGGAAGCCAGAGTTAGGCAGTAACTGAAGAGTTTGCAGCAACAAGCAGGCAGCTCCACCTCCTATGTTCCTTTTTATTTTATTTTATATCTCATTTTATTAAAAAAGGAAAAAGAAGATCTTTCACTTGACGTAAAAAGGAATTAGTTCCAAGTAATAAGTATAAATAAGGTGGTTTCGCATTAGATTACAATAAATGTATGGCATGTTTTAAAACAGTAACTGATTTTTCACTTCTTTTTTGTTGGTTCATTAAAATTATCCGCAAGTAAAGTTGTCCCCTTATTGCAGCAGCTTCTGCGATTTGTTTCTTTTGTAATCGTTTCTATGCTCGGTTAATAAATGTAATCATAATCACTGCAATCATTGATCAATTAATCGAGTAATTTGTAATTGTTAATCGCGTTAAAGAATATACTACGAGTATGTTTGTAAAATTTTTCATATTGCGTCAATCTTTCAATTAACTGAATGCACGATTCTTTTGCGTTCTAAAATACTTTCATATAATATTTTATACGCAATATGAATGGCTATTTGGAGCACATAATAAATGTTAAATATGATCCAAATGAATACTTTAATTACATTGATGTAATGGATTGGTTTTTAACTAACTTAATTTTATGGTCTGTAAAACATGTACATCACTCACGGTAGTAGTGTTTTATCACGATGTTAATGAAATATACGTAATATATTGATAAGTGTACGAATATTCTGATAATAATTCGCAAGTAATCAAATTGTACCCGTAATGACATAGAAAGGTAGATAATTTGTTATCTACTGACTGATAAAAGTTTCTTCGTCGTAAATGAAACTATTTTTGAAAAAAGAAAAAAAAAAAATACTACAAATATGAAGTATGAAATTGACGATTCAAAAGTGCATGTCATGTTACGATGAACGATTTTTAAGTTAATCATGACCTACAGTGACTCTGATTACTCATTACATTCATGAATCAATGATTATTGATTGCTTAATAATTAACAATCGTGATCTCGCGTCAATCATAATCCTCAATCATTTTTGCCCAACTCTGGCGAGGGGAACGAAAATGGCCAAAAGTTTGGAAGAGAGACCGCGAACAGTACAAACGTTGTAGAAGCTCCATACAGAGCTCCACAGAACATGTAAGAATACCGCGAGCGATTCGTTCGATTCGTTTGAACCGAAAGGCTAAAAGATTCTCGAGCGTCGAACAGAGGCCGGCATCCTCTCGTTTAATCTCGATATCGTCTTCTTTTCCATATCCGCAATAACAAACGTGTAACTTTCGCTTTTGTCCACGCGCCACGTTCATAAGTCACCGGCCGCCAATTTGAAACGTAACGTTTATTAAAATATCTTACAATAAGATCTTTGAAACACAGTATAATCTTCTTACAATAAAAACAGTTAGAAGCGTCAACTTCATTTTATAATTATAACGTTCATATATTATATATGTATATATATATTTCTCTAAACGTGTGAAGCGTCCGGTGATTTATGAGCACGATCAGCGTATTTGATGTGCATACATTTACATACGTGTATTAGCAACTCGTTGCTACCCGCTTAAACGTCGAGTATCGCACAAAGATAGGCAGGCTCGAGAAAGGAACGACGACTGCTCGCGAAAGAATGTCGTAGTCAGTGTTGGGCATTATACAAGCAAATCTTTATTTAAATGAACTTGTTTAAATATGCAAAGTTGTTTCTTATTCGAGAGTTCAAACACGAAAGCAGAAATGAATTGTTTGTTACTTGTTTGTTTAAATAAGCGAATAATTACTCGTTTATTTATATAAACGATTAGTAAATAAGTTAGTTGTGCATTTACAAACGTAATTTCGCAATTATTGTTTATCATTTATGTAAGACTAGAGTGGTGACGCATTAAAAATAAGTTACGCCTGTTACATCAAGAATAATGTAACACATTACATTAAAAAAAAAAAAAAAAACACGTTTTGAACGTTCAAAAGCAAAGACGAAGGTAAAGTGTCTCGACAATTTACAAAAGATAACGGGTAGTGTTGGCGCGGATATTATACAAAAAAAGCAAAGACGAAGGTAAAGTGTCTCGACAATTTACAAAAGATAACGGGTAGTGTTGGCGCGGTTATTATACAAAAAATAAAAAAAAAATAAAAAAAAAAACTACGTACTTGTCATCGTTTTACGTAACGCAAATAAGAAATAACTGTACATTTGAAGATCCAGAATAAGAAACAAATGATAAGAAACAAATCAATTACGTCACTCAACAATTTTCGCTGTTTGTCACCCCGACGAGGAGATTGCCCAACTCTGGTCGTAGTCTCGGCGAACGCGTTTAAGGCGTTTTAAGGCCGTAAAGAAGAGAGAGAAAGAAAGAGACAGACAGAAAGAGAGAGGGAAAAAGAGAGAGAGAGAGAGAGAGAGAGAGAGAGAAGGGAGAAAAGTGACAGAGAAAGAGATCGATCGATTTCAGGCGAAATTCGAAACTAGAACTCGTTGGAAGATCGTTAAAGGTATTCAACGATGTCGCATTTGATAGATATATTCGGACAGCTGGCCACACTCGCCCCGTAGCCGGCCCTCGAGGAACTCTTGTGCCTCTCGGTGAGCAGCTTCTGAAAGATCGGCAGGATCGCCAGATCCAGCAGCTCGCCGTCCGACACGGCGCTGTACATCTTCGAAACGTTCGCGGCCGAACCACCGACAACGTCCGAACTGCTACCGGTCACGGAACTGGCTGTCCCTGGCCCGTTCGCACTTCCGGTCGCGCCGCCGCCAGCGCCGCCGGCACCGCCACCACCTCGCGGATTCGCGCTCGCGAATTTGTTGTTGTGAATGGTGGCGACGTTCGGCGTGCTCTGCACGTATTCCAGCCGTGCCTGCTGCCGCAGCTTCGACTCCGTGTGTCTGCACTCCCGTATCCGGCGGGTGCGATGCGGACACTCGATCATCGCGTGGCCCTCGCTCCGTAACCGCGGACACTTCTCTCGCGATCTCTCCGACACTGATCGCTGGATGATCGTCGACATCGATTCCTCGTATTTCTCTGCGGGCACACGACGTGTCGTCAAATAAATAGCTGCAATCGGAGATGTTTGGTTTGATTGGGCAATCATTACGGAATTGTTATGCAATCGTTATATACCGCGAAGTCAATGAATTCATTATACTGAATTCATTAAAATACTGAGTTACAATTTTCTCCTTCTTAATGATCATTATGAAACAGCTGTATAATTATTATACTGTGGAGAGTTGACTGAATCAATTCTTGCATAGTTACATACAATATACAATATATATATCACAAATGTATTAAACGTACTATAAATGTACAATACAATTATCAATGTAGCACAGTTCATATGTGTATTATATATTTATGTATTATGTTATGTGTATTATACAGGGTGGCCCTATTTATATTTGTGAACAGAAGAATGGTGGTCATTTGAGGTATGTTGCTTTTCACGCATAACAAGAATTGAAGAACAAAAAATTGAAAAAAAAAAAAAAACGCGTTTGTAGAAGTTTGTAAATTTTTGTTTTATATCATTCAGTTTTTCAGTCTTTCACCACCCTGTATATTTATAGTTTCTAGTACAGAGTTTTTAGTTCACTTTATCTCTTATTAAACAAAGAGGTCTCTTATTAATTAATTATTAATTAAAGAAATCTCTTATTAATTAAAGAGATCTCTTATTAAACATACTAACCGGTATCAGAGTAACTCGCGTTGACTATAGCGGGCACGCTCGGCGAACTCGCGTTTTGGGAATCGTACTGTTTCCTGTGCCTCCGTGGCGGCGGCGGCGTTTCCGCCGAGCCGTTCAACATCGCCCGCGAATGTCCCCGTCCGCCGTGTTTCTCGCAGCGATAACCAGTACCGGAGAGTAACGCACGACGATGGCCACACTCGCCGATCACGTAAGATTTATCAAGGCCAGAGTTCAACGAGATCTCCGCCGCCTCGGATTTCGATACGTTCTCGGTCGAGATGTAGCTGATGCAATTGGCCGGCACGCTGGTCCTCCGTGTTTGAAACAACTCGTGATGGGAATGAGCCATCCCGTTGTTCTTCACGGATGATCTCCTCTTCAGCGAATGATGCGCGGACGCGTTCGTCGCTGAAACTGAAGCGAAACGAAACTGGAATTCGTTAGACGAATTTGAGGATATTGGTAAGTTTAATGGACACTTGGTAGAAGAACTGGATGAAAGGAATGCAGCTCTGATTAGTTATCTCTAGTGTCATAATTTCGAGACTAACTTTCACTAGACTTTCACTAGGGGCCACAAAGTAGGTTCCATTAATGATTTTCGTTATTTACGAAGAAACAATTGATTATTGTCTAAATACAGATATCGCGAAAACTAAGAAGACAGAAGGTAGAAATACACGGTTAAACAAAATTAAATATAAAATAATATATTCAAATTAAATTAAATTAAATTTCATTATTTATATATGCGTCACGTCTGTCTGCGTTGATTTCGAAATAAAGTAGAAAAAGAAGAGTTTATTTTATGCACAAGTGGCACACAACAACAGACATATTAACATTCTTCGACGTTATTGAATATAATGCATATTTTAATGAAATTAAACCACGTGTAATTCATTCTTTGATATCATTGAATTTAATGCACATTTTAATTGAATTATCGCACATATTGAATATCCTTTGTTTCTACTTCTGCCTCATCCCGATTCATAACTATGGCCGACGTGTAACAAAAAGATTACTCCTCTCACCGGAGTGTCGATGTTTGGGCACGAATTGCAACGGAGGAGGCAGAATCGCCTGTTCGAGGTAGTTCTGCTCGTGAAGTTCGCCGAACGAGACGTTTTTCGCTGGCGGAGGTGTCGGCAGCCTGGACCTACGATCGTCCTTGCATCTGATCGACTTCCCGTGCCTGGGTATCTCGGTCTCCTCGAGAATAACAGCGTCCACTTCCTCGACAATCTCCGGCACGAATTCCACGTTCGTTTTGCCGGCGGTATCCGGACTTCTCTCGGTGAGAAGAGGCTCGGTTTCTCTGCCAGGTCCGGACGAACGACTTCTCCTACGGCCAGAGTCGTCCGTGTGTTTCAAAGCCGAAGGTGGAACCGAGGATGTGCTGTCCAAGGCACCTTTCCCTGTCTCTTGCCTCTGGGGGACGAGTGGAACTCGTTCGCTGTCGATCGCGATCGCTGGCACCTTGGAAAACGACGTCTTTTTCCTGAAAGAAAAAACCGTAAAAATAATATGATGATTGCGAAATTTTTCACGCGTTTTAATATTAGTTTTTTTGAGTATCAATACACACACATATATATATATATATTTAATATATTTTAATTATATATATTTTTAATATATTTTAATACGTACATTTATTTACTTTAATACAACGTTACATTTTTCCATTCCTTTGTTAAACTACCATTACGTTCCATTTCAACGAAATTGGAACGGTTATTCAATATGTAATTCAGTATTTTTACAAAATAAATTTCCACGACCTAGACAGATCTTTTCCCTCAAAACGGAGACTCGATGTTAACAGAGAAATCTGAAGCAGAAATTTCAGACCTCAATCTCTACAAGACGCAGACTTAATATAAATACTTGCATAGCGCAAGTTAAATATCAAATTGTGAATAGTACCCTTCTACAAGACAGATATTAAATTTCTACAGAATTACGTAAGTCATAAATTTCAATTGAATTACGACAAAGTGACTACATTATGTCATATTATTCCATATTAAACATATTACACCATAGTATACCATACTATAACGTATTAAACCATTGTACAAAATATTATAACATGTTATCCAATATTATAACATATTACACCGTACCATACTATACTATACTAGATTATGCCGTATTAATCATATTAAACCACAGTATACAGTACTATACCATATAATACCATTCTGTACCATACTACACCATACTATACCATATAATATCATACCAAACCGTATGGTATGGTAACCGTATTATATTATAGTATAACATACTATACCATATAATATCACACCAAACCGTATGGTATGGTAACCGTATTATATTATAGTATAACATACTATACCATATAATATCATACCAAAACGTATGGTATGGTAACCGTATTATATTATAGTATAACATACTATATACCATATAATACCATATCAAACTGCATGGTATGGTAACCGTATTATATTATAGTATAACATACTATATACCATGTAATACCATATCAAACCGTAAGGTATGGTAACCGTATTATATTATAGTATAACATACTATACCATATAATACCATATCAAACCGCATGGTATGGTAACCGTATTATATTATAGTATAACATACTATATCATATAATACCATATCAAACCGCATGGTATGGTAACCGTATTATATTATAGTATAACATACTATACCATATAATACCATATCAAACTGTAAGGTATGGTAACCGTATTATACTATAGTATAACATATCATACCAAATCATGTCATATTAACCATATACAAATACCTACCATCAGATATATTATTACGAGTATACTTGTCAACGTGTATCAATCGCAGTAAAATATATACGCACTTGGCGGTGTGTTGTTCGGTCGCGGCTGAACTCGTGTAATCCCCGGCCTCCGGTTGAGACGTGGTCGTGGAGTTCAGGCTGCACATCGACATCGAGATGTCCGTTGTCTCTGTCGTAACAGACAGACCTACGGTAAGATAAAAGCACATAGCGATATCGTCGATAGCGCGTTATCGTGCCAGAACGTTGAGAAAGAGGCGACGGAACGTTTCGTGCCCCACTTACCTTCTTTCTTCATCATTGTTCCCTCTTGGCGCGGAACGGTCAGCCTGTCCATCTCCTCTTGCGTGTTCGGCGCAGTCTGATCGTCCAGCCTTCTCAGAAACATCTGCAATCGATACGTGAACCGCGATTCATTCGAATGGCAACACGTGCCCCGCGTTAAACTCGTTTCGCTGCTCCGTTTACCTGAAGCTCCGAATCCTTCTCCAATAGCTGCTTGCGGAACTTTTGATTCGCGAGCGTTGCCTCTTTCAGGCGTTCCTCTAACTCGCTGATGCTCGAGTCCCTTCGCGTCTTCGACATTGGCCTGAGCGTGGCTCTGATTCGCTTATCTATCGCGCCCTGGGGATTCCTTCGCAATTCTATCAGCTAACGTGGAGAACAAATTGTTTGTAACGTCGTTAAAGCGTTAGGTAATGATGACGTAGTAATATAAATCATTATAATATATGAAGATTATTATTTGGAGCTTGGATTTGGTAGGCCAATGCCGTTTGTTAAGTTTCATCTTATTTTGTCAATTAACGCTACAACTACCAAAGTGGTCAAAATGACTAATTTATAATATCCTATGGGAAATTTTTATATATTAATAACAGTGTATTTTTAGATGCTCGAGCGATTTTTAATAAAATGTATTGATAGAAGCTTGCGTTCTTTGCTAGAAATATTATATTTTAATCGAGTGTTGAAAATTAATAAATAATAAAATTAATATATATTGATAACAGTGTATTTTTAGATATTCGAGTGATTTTTGATAAAATGTATTGATAGAAGCTTGTGTTCCTTAATTTCTTTGCTACAAACAATTATATTTTAATCGAGTGTTAAAAATCACATACAGAAACAGGAAATTTGTTTTACCTCCCGATATATTTAACGTCAAGAATATATATATATATATATATATATATATATATATATATATATATATATATATACATATATATGTTGATAATAATTTTATTATGGATCATCGTGGATACGAATCGGAATATTCAATTTCCTTATACGAAGAAAATTGTCGCGAAATCCGCTGAAATCGTAAATTTGTCATTTGAAACAAGTTAAAGGCCTCTTCATCTGCAGACCGACTGAGAAGAATCACAAGCGAGACACTGCATTAATGCAACGTTGTATTAATATTAATTGGACGAGTAAACAAAGAGATGAAAACGCGAGGCAATAGTATTTTTTCTTAGTATTTCCATACCTTCGGCACGAAAACCAAGCACAGAGTGGCGGTGCTGCAGAATATTATGAATATCGCCAGCATAATGAACATGGCATCCTGTTTGTCAGCTAGCACGAAGCTTATGGCCGCTCCGGTAACGCACATGATCACCACGTTGTACACGCTCATTCCCACGTATTTACTGTCGTTTAACGCTGGGATACTAACGTGCCTGGTCTCCCATGCCAAAAAAGCACCGAATATCTACAATATCGGAGGATCAATTATTCTCCTTGTACCCGATTTTCCTATTTTTTTCCATCGCATACAGATACAGAAAATTGTAAAGAGCACTCAGAAATTTAACAATAGTATCTCCTGCATTCTTCTTCTCATTACTTGCGCCGTTTTACACTGAGAAAATAATTACACAGGCTAACGGGATACTCTTGTTGAAGTAATAAAATTATTACTTATTATTTAGATTCAGAAATTATTATGATTAGAACAGACTTGTTTCATAAAAGTTATTTAATAAACAATAATCATCGGCGTACGAGTATTTCTTACATCCACTTATTAACCTCTTAAAGACTCGCTGACTTTTACAAAACGTGTGTTAGAAAGGAACATCTTTCTCTTCATTTGATCATTTTCATCGCTAAACTGCACGACAATTCTTCGAAAAAGAACGAGCACGACGATCGTAAAATTTCAGCCGCGCAATATCTGCGTTGATGTGTATCTCGACCCACGTTTGCTCCAAATAAATTCAATTGAAATAACAAAATAAAAAAAGAAAAGGAGAGTTGCTCTTTGTGTCGACGTTTTCGCAATTTCCTGAGTGTACCATTAAGGGGTTAGCGTCAGCCAACAATTACCTACCATCAAGAGACCCTTGTACGCGTATATACACCCTAAGTAAATGGTCATTCGATTACTTTGACAGTACTCGTTCTCCGGTATTATGATGATATCGTCGCTGGAAGGATGGGGCTGAAAACGAGAGATGATCACGTAACTCACGTCCAATGCTCCTACTTTTCCTTACGCGGTCGTATTCCCGGCTCGTTATACGTCGGATAGATATCATTGCGCTTACATAGGGTTCCATTTGTTTCGTCTCCCGGTAAAATGGATCCGCAACCTGCCAGGTCGTCATAATCCCCAAATCGATAACCAATAACACACCGACCACCATGAACAGCTGGTAATCCTTAATCACCTAAATGGAAGACGGAAGAGACGGCGTGTATAGTGGTAGGCCGCTATTAAGCGCTTCGAATCGTTTCGAGTATGTTTGTAAGAACGTACAGTTGAAATTGGTAGTCGACTCTCTAGAGGATTCATCATTTTCGTACTCTTGGAAGATGCGCGAAAGTCGCCGATATTTTAATCGAAGAAGATACGTACGCTGTCGCGTAATATTAAAACCAACGACGCGTTTGCCCGAAGAACACTATTCTCTGCTTAAGATTCTCAGAGACTAACATTACTATTCGTTCTATCGACTTTTTTTTTTTTTTTTATTTCTCAAGTTACACAAAAATATCCACGTGCATCTCCACTCAAAATTGACAAAATCTTAACAAAAGTCCAGTGTACGAACAGCGTATTCATAGTTACAGAGAATGGTCAAGAGTCACAGATAGATGTTAATAATTTCTAAAAATTTATGTAACAGCACGTGACAACTTTCAAAAGAATTCACGCAGTCCAATACCTTTGTAAGATAACATAAACGAATTTTCGTAGAATATCGGCCAAGCGTACATCCGAGATCCCTCCGAAATAACCAAGATATTCGACAGTTGCAAGACTGCCGAGACTTCCAAAACTCCCGAAGATAATCAAGATCATCAAGAATTCAAAGATATTTGAATCCTACTACAAAGCGATACGAATTTCGACCGTACCATCTCGAAAATTCTGGTTATAAATGTTCAAACGCTCCAAACCACGCGCTGCGCGTGATGCTGCAGCCACGGACCACAGAGACCGCAGAGAATATAGAGATGGAATCGGACCGACTCACCTTCTTGTTCAATTTAACGTCGGTGAAAATCGAGTGTACGCGCCATGTTTTCGAGAACATGGAACCAAAGGCCAAGGAGAAGCCAGCCATCAATAGCCATGCTCTGGCGGTGCATATGTAGGGAAATGCCGTTACGCTGGACAGCTGCGAATCTAACCCAAGGAAAATTACACTGCTGTAGGTCAGCATGCATCCGACGATTATGAGGTTGTTTAAATGCGGCGATGACATTTTTATGTATCTGAAACGTCGAAGATGATCGAACGTCGGACATGAGAAGGGAAACAAGAGAGAATATCGCGGACTATGCACGGGTAAAAGGAAGAGTCGAGAGAGAGAGAGAGAGAGAGAGAGAGAGAGAGAGAGAGGCGAAACTGGCAACCACCTCACCGTTCGCGAAGGGAACGCGAATCGTCCTTTCACCCGTAACATCTATTAATCTCGCGCTCTTTTGATTCTTCATTCGACTCGATTCTCGCGCGTGTCGTTTAGCGAAGTATCGTAGCGCTCGAAAAGCTGACCAAAAATACTTTGGCTAGGCAGATCTTTAACATGTTCTTATTTCATTTCGCAATAGCATTCTATACACAGTGGTGCATTCTACACACATATATACATATATGTATATATATATATATAAAATTTAATGTGTTTATATAAAAAAAAATGTAAATAAATATTGGAAACCAAAATAAACAGACCAGTGTTTGCAAACAAAGTAAAATTTCAAAGTTTTCAAGATACTGTCTGAAAATTTTCGAAAATTTTTCAAAACAAAGTGTGTTGACATCAAAAAAATGTAAATAAACATTGGAAATCAAAATAAACAGACCAATGTTTGCAAACAAATTGAAATTTCAAAGTTTTCGAGATCCCGACTGAAAATTTTTGAAAACAAAGTGTGTTTACACCAAAAAAAAGTAAATAAACATTGGAAACCAAAATAAACAGACCAATGTTTGCAAACAAATTGAAATTTCAAAGTTTTCGAGATCCCGACTGAAAATTTTTGAAAACAAAGTGTGTTTACACCAAAAAAAAGTAAATAAACATTGGAAACCAAAATAAACAGACCAATGTTTGCAAACAAATTGAAATTTCAAAGTTTTCGAGATCCCGACTGAAAATTTTTGAAAACAAAGTGTGTTTACATCAAAAAAATGTAAATAAACATTGGAAACCAAAATAAACAGACCAATGTTTGCAAACAAAGTGAAATTTCGAAGTTTTTATAAAATATATCAAAGTTTTTTAATCGCTGCAGTATATTAAGTGATCTATTATGCAATAAAATCATCTACAAGACGTGTGGACAGTACATACTGGGTAAGTATGGGTAAGTATTCGTTAACTTAGTTATAAGTGAATTATTATGAAATCATTTCTAACACTTGTGGATAATTCATGGCTACTGGGTAAGTATAGGTAAGTACACTTGCAATCAGAAATTCGAAAACTTTGAAATTTCACTTTGTTTGCAAACATTGGTCTGTTTATTTTGGTTTCCAATGTTTATTTACATCTTTTTGATTGTTTGTTTTGGTTTCCAATGTTTATTTTCATTTTTTTGATGTCAACACACTTTGTTTTCAAAAATTTTCGAAAATTTTCAGTCGGGATCTCGAAAACTTTGAAATTTCTCTTTGTTTGCAAACA